ACCAGTGTTTGAATTTCTCAAATCATAAATAATCCAGAGTTCAACATAATGACAAAAATAATCATAATATAGCAAAGAAGAAGCTACATAATGAAGTCCGGTCAAACGATCGACCACCACTCGTCTCTCGCCGCCATGCAGCCGCCGACTCAACCTGCATCCATGAAGAGCAGGTGGGGATGAGCACAGATGGAATCCGTTGTGCTCACTGCTATGCGCATGAACAGTTATAATAAATGATTACAAAAGTAAACATGGCATGGCCACAAGTATGAACATAGACAATAAATTTTCCCATCTCCTATCCAGTGTCGATTATGTATCATGTGCACAACTATCAGAATAGACTACATTTGATCCACGTATCGTCTCCTCGCGAGAACTAACGTTGCCAAAGTAGGAGGGTCATCCGTCAACCCCGAGGGTTTTAGACGGGAAATCCACTGTCAACTCTGAGGGTATTAGACAGGTCTGCCAACCCCGAGAGTTTTAGGCAAGAAATCCATCACAAGAGGAGATTACCCACTCGGGGTACGTTCTATAACAACGGGGATACGTTCGACGGCCGGTACAGCTCACGTCGAAAGTTACACATACACATTTCATACTTTGATCATACCCAAGTAAGTAAAAATATTCCCAGTTCAAGGCATAGATAATTTTTAAATAATAAGCCCACCTGGAAATTGCGGTAGAATAATGCACACAAAAGCAAGTACGTAGGTCGAGGGCTCGACTCCTCAAACACCTACATTCAAGCAAGATAATACATCAATAATCTATCTTACTACTCGAATTAAACATAAAACCCACACTTAATGAAAATTAAGTTTTAAGGGTTTTAATCAGATTTTTTGTGGACTTGGAACTCTCTCATTTTAGAAAAATTAGGACTCGGAGAACTATATTGGAGTCTCGGGACTAAAATAATTTATCAAATTTTTCTCATTTGAAAATAATTTTTAAAATAATAAGTTTGGCAGAAAAATAGACTACCGATACACAAAAAGGACCAAAACGGCAACTTGGGCTACCTGTCCACACATGGGACCAAACAGCCACGAAATTGGGCCTCGCGCATCCATTTGGGCTGTGGGCATGGGGCCTGCTCGAAAGCTGTTGGCGCGGGCCTCCTCGCGGGCTGGGGAGCGGCTCGCGGGCCAGAACAGCTGAGGAAGACAGGCCGTGCGCGGGCTGTAATCGGGCCTTATGGCCCGCGCACTGGAGCTGGCACTTAAAAAAAATGACATCTACACAGGGAACGAGGTTCGTACTCACGACCACAGACCCAACATGCACATAGGTCACCACTGCACCACTCGATCCGTGGTTCATTTGAACAGAAAAGAAAAATCAAAGCCTTTTGGCTGCGAACTGGAAACAGCAAGACACAACACAAACAGAGACTGAACAGAAAAATAATCTTCGGCCACAAGTTCTCAATTTTAACATCGAGCACGCACGATATTCGAAATTCAAAAACATTATTGAAATAAACATATTTTTAGAGTTTCGCCATTTGATAAAACTGGGATTAAAAAGGTTTGACAACGAAACAGTTCGAAAACAAACCACGACTCAAAGACGATCGTAAAGTTCAAAACAACAAAACGAAACTTCGAACTTATACAAAACAATCACAGCAACATCAGGATATTCAATTTTACAAAAATGAGAATTCCAATCATCCCCGAATAGTCCACGAACGTACGAGATGATTACGAACATACGAACCGACAATAAAACCGATTTCAAACAAGGGTTTCGGTAGATCGAGAACAATATATATATATAACATGTGATATATGATAACGACCGTAATAACGAGAGGATTTGAATAAGTTACCCGACTTCGGGAAACTACGAGTTATCAGATGAGAAACAGGCCCGACAGCGGGTCGGACGACAGGATGAACGGACCGAGACCTCGAAACTCCTGGAAGCTCGAACTGAACGTCGATGAGTGGCTTGCGAGATGGCTGTTGAGGGATTCTCGCCTCGACGGTCGACAGCGGCCGAAGCTCCTCAGCTATGGCGGACACGGTGAGGACGCCGGTGTATGAGGCTGCTCGAGGGATTCTGCGAACAAGGTGGTTGTGTGAGTAGGATGATGGTCGCCGGGAGAAGGTGCTTCCCGGAGGTTGCCACTGTTGGAAGGCCTCGCCGGAATTTGCAGGGAGAACGCCGGAATTCAGGTATGGGATTAAATTTTTATTTTTTTATATAGAGAGAGAGAGACGAGAGAGATGCAGGCAGCGGGGAGATGAATTATCTGATGTTCTCGGTCAAGATTTAAAAGGGGTGAGAAGGAGATAGGGGGAGAACGTGCAAGATATTTCACCCAAAAGTCACAGCAGATTTGATCCGTTGGGAGAGAAAGACCCGGTCGCTGGGAGGACATAACAAGAAGTCTGTTCATTTGCTTTGATCTTAACGGGCCAAACACTTTACACCATAATTTGGGCCTCAACATAAAACAAGACTTTGGGCCAATGAAAATAACATAGCATGGGTTTTGAGTTAATTAATTTGAAGAATACACTAATGGGGCTGGGGTTTTCTCTAGGTTTCGACTCAACGATTATTTGAGGCTCGGTTCAACGCGACGATAACTAAAATAAAACTGGATATATATATATATATATAATACACATAATAATATTATTTGTAATACACATTAATCACATAAAATCAATTAGAATAATTAGACGTATAAATATTAATATTAATAATAACGATCAATTAATCAATTAAAAGCAATTAGATATTTAGCAATAATAATAATAATAATAATAATAATAATAATAATAATAATAATAATAATAATATTTAGACATTTAAGGACATTTAGGTAAATAATTATAATAATAATACTAATAATAAAAGCAATAATAATTTAAATAATTTTCAAATATTTTACAAATAAACGGGGCATTATATTTACACATTTGTGCGTTTTATCTATCATTTCGGGAAAAAAAAAGAACATTTATGCATTGGAGATGCTCTTAAATATGCATATATATATGGTAATTCGAACTTAAGTATTTTGTATAAAACATTAGTACTCCCTCCTATTTTTTTTTAATGTCATTCTAGTTTTATCAACTATTTGCTAAAAAAATGTCGTTTTGGATCTTTTGTACATATTTTTCCATTATTACCCTCATTTAACCAATAAATACATTACGTCTTTTCATATTCACTCTTCACTTTTCTCAAAACATTCATCTCTATCTTCATTAAATAAGGTTATTATTGATAAAAAAAAAAATATTCTTAATTAGTGTGCAACTTCTCAAAACGACATATATTAAAAATAGGAGGTAGTATTTTTTATACAAATCATATTAAAAAACATAATATTTTGCCACGTAAGATTACGAAATGTGCGAATCTGTCATTCAAGTTGAACGCATTCTGAAATTATATATAAAGTAAATTGCCTGGACAATAACAACCAAACTTACATGAAAATGTTTCAAATTATATTTCAATCTTTAGACTTTAGAGACTATCTTTTTTGTAAATCTTTATGCATCCGAAGATTTGGACTCCACTTGGCCGCAAATACTTAGGTGTGCCTTGGCACACCTAGCAAGGTGTGCCAAGGCTTTTCTAAAATGAACATGTTACTTTATAAAATGAACATGTGTAAATATGTTTACACATGTTCATTTTATAAAGTAACATATTCATTTTAAACTGTCTTTGCACACCTTGCTAGGTGTGCCAAGGCACACGATAGTAGCACTGCCACTTGGCCGCTTCATGTGGAATAAAGTAAAAAAGTCATTCTGACTTTTGTCTTAATGTTGCTTTTCCCATTATTAGTCAGCATGCTCAAGTCCAAGGCATCCGAGTATCCAATGCCTAATTGGAGCAAGTCAAGTCCCAAAACTCTCTTAAATTCGATACTTTGATTTTTTAATAGGATGTCTAAAATTACATTGTTTTTTTTCTTTTGACTTGTTCTAACCAAAGGCAATTAATACTGACAAACAAACAAATCGACCTTGACAAAACCAAGATGGTGCAAATTTTTACGAAATTAAAATACTACTTCCTTCTATTCACAATAAATGTCGTTTTGAGAAGTTGCATAATTATTAAGAATATTTTTTTTTATCAATAATAACCCTCGTTAATGAAGATATAGATGAATGCTTGAAGGCTTTGTTCGCAAGGGCTCCGTTCTGAGAAAAGATGAAGAGTGAATATGAGAAGACATAGTGTATTTATTAGCTAGATGAGAGTAATAATGGAAAAATATGTACAAAATATGCAAAACAACATTTATTTTGTTAGTAGTTGATAATGTCAAAATGACATTTAAAAAAAAAATAAGAGGGAGTAACTAATTTGTAGATTTCCTTGATTTCTGTCAAAGACACAATTACCAAAATAGAAATATAATCAAACAAAACAAATGACTCTATCCCATAAAACATACTTACACTAAGATTCAATTAATTCACTAGCAGGAAGGAAAAGAAAAAAAAAAAAAAAAAAAAAAAAAAAAAAAAAAAAAAAAAAACTTTGTAAATATATTTGAAATCATAGTTTTTGTCAATATAGCTCGCTACTTTGGTCTTTTTTTTTCTTTTTTTTTTCGAAACGAAAGGATTTATAACTCAACAGAATAGATACAATCGTACATGGCTACTAAGCCATAAAATATACAACAGAAGGACACCCAAGGTGAGGCCTTATCACAAAAATCAAAATAAACTAGGACTAAGTTGCATGACTATAGCAATGGCAAGGCATAGGCCCTATAGCAAGCTCTTAATCTCACCCCTAATATATACAGCAAAAAGGGGAGGCAAAAGACATCATGCCACTGCTACAAAGAGCCTAGCAATCTGCCAACTACAGAAAAAAAAAACAACTAACTACAAAAGACCACTACAAAATTCTAACCAAGCTTGGACAGCTGCATTAACTACTGCACTCTCAGGTCTCATGGATTGATTGAACACCCAGTTATTTCTTGATTTCTAGATTTCCCACAGGAGATAGGCCGTGATCTGAATTCTTTTGGTTGAAAGTCTTCCAGCAGGAATGGAGCAAATTCTCCTCCACCAGGTTTTGAAGCAGTCAGCATCATTTTGAAGCCCATCCCAGGATACAGGGGACAACTTCCAGATTTTTGCAGCTCTATGACATTGAAAGAAGAGATGTTCTTGAGTTTCAGGGGCTTCCCAACAGATTTGGCAAATGGGATCTAACTCTAAGCCTCTTCTCCTGAGGTTGTAGCAAATAGGTATGGTGTTGTTTATCCCTCTCCATAAGAAATGTTTGATCTTACCTTTGATTTGCAGGCTCCAGAGTTTCTTTCTTGCATGTTTGTTTACCTGATGGTGGGAGCTTGGTTCAGGTAAGTCCAGATTGTTCCATTTTTCTTCAATCAAAGCAGCATAGATTGAGGAGACTGAAAAGTTCCCATTTTTTTCCTTTTCCCAAATGAGTTGGTATTCCTTGTAGGGGTCTAGATCTTTGATGCTTAGGATAGATGCTTGCTCCTGGGATGTGAAGAGCTCTGAAATGAGGCTTCTGTTCCAATTTCTACCATTACAGTCCATTAGTTGAGAGACATGGGTGAGCACTTTTATCCCTGGATTTTTGCCCTGAGGTATGCAGTTTGGGATGTTAGGCACCCAAGGATATTCCCATATTAGGGTCTTCTTCCCATTATTGATTTTAAATTTGACTCCCTTAAGGAAGTCTTTTTTGACCTTAAGCCAACTGCTCCAGAGCCAAGAGCAGTTGTGCTTCTTATCTACTGAGAAGAAATTCCCTTTAGGGAAGTATCTAGCTTTGAGGATCCTGCTTAGAAGAAGGTGGCGCTGAGAAAGGACTCTCCAAAGCTGTTTGGCAATCATGGCTTTATTGAACAAGTGGAGATCAGTGAACCCAAGCCTTCCTTTTTCCTTGGGCAAGGTGATGTGATTACATGATTTCCAGTGCAAAGCTTTCTTATTTGTGTCACCTTGGTTCCACCAGAACTTAGCAAAGTGTTGTGCTAGCTTTTGGTTGACTCCTTTAGGCAGCAAGAAGCAGGCCATGGCAAAGGTTGGCATTGCACCTAGAACTGACTTGAGGAGCACCTCTCTACCTGCAAAAGAGAGGAATCTGTTTTTCCAATTGAAGATTCTTTTTTTAACTGTGTTTTTCAAAAAAGCAAAGGTATCAAGTTTGGATTTCCCAATGCCCAAAGGTAAGCCAAGATATTTAGTAGAGGTCTGAGCAGTGATGCCTAACATGATGGAACAGATTGCATCCTTGACTGTCTGAGGGGTGTTTTTGCTGAAAAAAATGCTTGATTTGCTAAGGTTTACTTTTTGTCCAGTAATGGATTGGTAAGTTTGAAGGATATCAAGGATGGTAGTGGTTTGGTCAGTTGAGGCTTTAGCAAATAGGAGGGTATCATCTGCAAAGCATAGGTGGGTGAGGATAGGGTAATTGTTACCAAACTTAATACCTTTGAGGGAGCCTCTCTGGGCAGCAGATTAATAAGATGGGATAATATTTCCGAAATAAAAATAAAAGTATATGGGGAAAGTGGATCACCCTGTCTAATAGCCCTCGAGGGGGTCACAAAACCACAAGGATCACCATTAAGATTAAAAGAAAAAGAAGAGGAAGAAATGCATGACATTATCCACAGCACAAAGCTTGAAATCCAAATTTTAGCATAAGCAAGCTCACACTGTTCCACTAAACCCGGTCAAATGACTTGGACATGTCAAGTTTAATGGCCATAGCAAAATTTTTACCTTTTCTGAGGTTGTTAAGATAATGCAGAGCTTCACGGGCTATAATTATGTTATAAGTGATTTGACTATGGGGGACAAAAGCAGATTGGAATTCACTAATGCATCATAAAAGGTGGGGTTTGAGCCTATTAGCAATGAGCTTTGAAATGGTTTTGTAGATTACCCCACAGAGGCTTATGGGTCTGAATTGATCTACAGAAGAAGGGTTAGCACATTTGGAATGAGGGTAATGAGGGTGTGATTGAGGCTTTTCAAGATTTTACCAGATTGAAAGAAACTAAGCACAGAGGAACAGACATCTTCTTGAACAATGGGCCAAAATTTATGGAAGAACAAGGAGGTCATACCATCTTTACCTGGAGCTTTGTTTGGGTGTATGCTGTGGAGTGCCTCTTTGATCTCCTCTCTGTTCACTTCTGCCACTAATTCTTGATTCCTCTCCTCTGTGATGGCTGGTCTAATACCTTGGAGATGGTGATGAATGGCTCATGTACCTTCTAAGGTGAAAAGATGGTGAAAGTGGTCTTCTATGCAGTGAGCAAGGGCATCTCTACTTTCACAGGTAGTGCCATCTTCTCTAGTTAGCCTGGTGATGAGATTCTTCTTTCTTCTTTGAAGAGTGTGGGCATGAAAGAAGTTGGTGTTTTTATCTCCTTGTTTCAGCCAGGCTACTCTAGCTTTTTGGGCCCAGTACTTTTCTTCAAGGCTGTGGGTTGTGTGAAGTTCCTTATTATGAGCATCCCATTGGTTCCAGTCTCTGAGACTCCCTTCATCTCTCAGGGCAGCTAATTGTATGTTTAGCATCTCCATTTTCTTTGCATTCTCAGTTTTAAATTGCTGCTCCATTTAAGCAGCTCAATTCTTATTTCCTTTATCTTGGATTGTAGCTTGTACATGGGTGTGCCCTCTTGAGAAGATTGCCAGGCTTTAGAGATAACCTCTTCAATCCCATGTCTGTCCAGCCACCTTTTATCAAAGTAGAAGCGCTTTTTTTTGTGGGTTCCAGAAGGTTTAGCTGTGAGGAGGATGAGCCCGTGGTCAGATGAACTGCGGAAAATGTTTTGAGAATGTGCATTAGGATAAGATTGGGCCCAATCAAGAGAAACAAAAAACCGGTCCAATTTTTCTTCAACATAACCCTCCATTTCTCTGTTGTTGCCCCATGTGAAGGGGTGCCCTAACATGTGGATATCAAGAACTGTCATATCATTAATGAAATCAGTGAAGGGTTGAAATGATGTGTTGCTTCTGGCTCTTCCTCCTCTTTTCTCTTCAGGACAAAGTATGTCATTCCAGTCCCCTCCTAGGAAATAGTATTTGCCCCAACTGGTTTTTTGAGAACAGAGGAATGCCCATTGCTCTTTCCTTTTTGCTAATTCTGTGCTGGCGTAGATGAAGATGCCCCAGCAGACTTTAGAGATATTCTCATCCCAGAATTCCACTTCCATACAGAATTGGTGTTTCCTTACTTGAAAGACATGAATGTCTGCATCCCAACAAAGCAGTAGACCACCACTTCTGCCCTCTGTTTCCACTGAAGTCCAGTTGTTCCTAAGCCCAAGATTCTTGCAAACTGTAGAAATAAAGCTATCTTTTTTTTTTTCCTGAAATAAAGCAAAATTTTGGGTGATGGAGCCTCCATGTCTCCTTGATTTGGGAAACTGTAGAGGGGCCACCCGCACCTCTACAGTTCCACACCGCTGCATTCATTGATCACTTAGGGGCCATTTTTGGCTGGCTACCCCCACCACAATATTTTCATTTTTTTGCTTCTTACCAACAACTGCATTTTGGGAAAGAGATTGGTCAGGTTCAATTTCAGTTTCTTGGGAAGAGAGGAGTTGTCTTTTCCTTCTGTTATCTTTGTGAGACGGGTCTGTTTGGTTATTTTGAACTGGGGATTTGGCCTTTCTTTTCCAGGTCCTGGTTTTGATGGTAGGTTTTCGGTTTGGATCAGGTTCTGGTAATGAGGGAGATGCTTATTCTGTTAACATATGTAGAGTTGGGGATGCGAATGGCTTGGGATTTGGGACAGCTGTTGAGTTTGTGGTATTATATGGAATATGGGTTTGGATGGCTACATCTATTAGGTGTTGTTCAGGGGATGTGTGGGTGTTAAGGGGAGGATCACATATGATAGGGGTGTGTTGGTTAGATGGGTTAGCTGGTATGGCCATAGTGGTTGAAATTTGTAAGGGAGTTACATCTTGGCTAATTTTAGTGATGATGTTGTGGTTGGGAATGACAAATGAGCTTTTGTGGCTATGATCACTTGGCTGGTTATGGGTTGTGTTGGGGATGGAGTTGGTGTTTGAGAGAGTTTGATTGCTCGGCTGAGAATAGAAGGTTTCAGTTGCCTTTAACCATTCACCATATAGACCCTCAGTGAGTTTACCTGCTGCTATGTCAGAGGATCTAGAGTTGCAATTCTTGTCAAGGTGACCCAAGCAGCCGCAATAAAAACATAGACTTACCAATCTCTCATATTTGAACTGGAATTTAATCTTCTTGCTATCCAGTTGGGCATTTGTGCATCTGAGCAACGGCTTGTTGATATCCAGGGTGACTAAAAGTCTTATGCATTTGCCTGCAAGAGTGCCTCTTTGTGGGACTGAGACATCTTTGATCGATTTAAATATACTACCCAGCTTAAGCCCGACTTCTGCAGAGAGCCATTGAAGTGGGATGTTCCACGCTTGGACCCACATGTCGATTTCTTGGAAGCCCTGGTGATCTTCCGATATTCCTTCCGACCAATCCTGAAGAATTAGGTATTGGTTTTCATAGGTCCAGTTGTGGCCCTTGCTAACTTTAACCTTATCAGCCTTATCGGAGAATATGAATTGGAAGAAGTTCTGATTCAACTCCCTTACTTGGACTGAGGATCTGATTTGCCACATATGGTTAAGGGCCCGTCGGAGGCCTGCAATGTTCGCCTTTTTTGCCCTAAGATTTTTCCGAACAGGCTCCGACTACATTCATTTGCGCTGCGTTGAACATCGCCGGAAACTAGAGGTATTGTCGTAGCCTCATGTTCGATGAGACCGATAGATTCCAGTTTGTCAAGTATGTCTTCTTCCATGAATAACTAGTGGAGAAGATTGAGAGTAGAAATTCAAGAGGCACCTACAAGGCAAATCAGAACAGAGAAACCAAGAAAACTAGGGTCTGCAATTAGAGAATGGGGAAATAGCGGACAAGGGAGTGGAACAGATAAGATAAACAAAAATAAAGCTTGCAATACTGAAAACTCAGATTAACCGACCAAATAGGTGCAAATAATACCTTTAATTAGCGAAATTAATGTCCCAATGAGGAAACCCTAGCTCCCATTGAGGAAGAATCCATTATCCTTTGACGCTACTTTGGTCTTGCTTTTATCATAATAATCATGAAATTTGTTGAGAGAAAACAAATGAATTAAAATAGCAGTATCTTAGCATATTGTTAAAGAGTATAAATATTAATACTTTCACTGTGACATTTCAATATGGTAAACGGAAAATGCCCTTCGGAATTGGCATACTGATTAGGTCGATTTTTTTTATTTTTTATTTTTCCAGAATTTATCCAAACATAAGTGGTAATAAGTTGAAAAACGAAGCTTATGATATTCTTGTTCCTTCAGCACACGAGGTAAATGTTTTATCTTTCTAACTTAGCACTAGATTCAAAACAATCTGAACTCAAGCGATGAGTTACTATAATAGAAGAAAACAAAAAAAAAAAAAAAAAATTAAATAATCTTCCAGCATTGATCAACAAAATTACAAGACACGCACACCCTTTCTACAAGCCTACCTTGCTGTCCTCCGGCAACACTTTCGATTGAATTATAACCCGAGCTCCCGAAGCAAGCCTGTTGAAACAAAACAAAAAAATGGGAAAAAGAAACAAATCTCAATACACTTGAAATGAAGAAGTTCGTTCAGCTCAGTAAAAAAGAGATGAAGAGTCGGAAATTATTTAACTTTCTTCAATCTTGATCACGCTCTCAACGTGACAGCTGGTAGAATCCGATTCTTGGGATTGTTTGTTTACTGGGAGAGGCTCAGTCATCCTCTTGCTCCCGCCGATGGATGTGCCAGGTGTCGTCGTGCGCGAGCTCTCAGCCCGGTCGGACGAGATCCTGGGCCCCGTGGAAAGAGGGGACCTCATTGATTCGCATCTTGGCTGTTTGCTTAATGAAGCCTTGATTGATAGAGGGATGCACTTTGTGCGTGTGGAGCTTTCCTCATCCTTGTTGTCTCCAGTTGACCCAAATTTCTCGCTACTTCTGCATTAGCACTGAGGATTACTAAACACTTTGAAGATGGGAAGAGGATAATCAAATGACAGATTAATTTTTTACGTCTTTTTTCTTTGGAGGAAAAAGATAGGTAAAGAATGCTTCCTCAATTTGATGCCCTTTAACTGTCCACAAAAGTATCATGCACGGTGAAGAGATATTATGCATAGCCAGGGCCAGAACAAATGAGCTATACAAAGATCTATGTGATCCAAGAACTAAAGTGAATTTTCAAGAAACTAAAGTAAATCTGGTGCTCGATTACAAGGGAAAGTGACACTCGAGATCCCATTTACATTGGGTTTGAATACACACCTGATACCTTAATCGGGGTGCATGTAACATTCTAAGGTGGTAATAAATAGTTTCTCAAAGATAACTGCAGATTTTCAAATATTTTGGTAAATTTGTAAAACATTCCATTTAATTACAGAACAAGCAATACATCTATACGGTGGAGAAAGGACTAAAATGGCGAAGAAAATAATGTAAAACCAGAATTAGAAGGGAGAAAAGTGGATATATGTGAAACTTGTTCAGCAAATTCTGAGTTTATGGAGCCGCATAACAATGATGCCATGTTAGTCACAATTAATTTCCCTCAATCACAAACAAGTCATGCCATAAAAGAATAAACCCCATGACATGCATTTACAAAAGAAAGAAAGGAAAAAAAAAAAGAATAAAGACAGAGATTAAGAGAAAACTAACTGACTTGTCAGCATTGAATGATGACGAACGTTTGAGATGAGGCGCTCCTTCCCTGACCATACTCATCTCGACCAAACTCCCGCTGAAGTACTCCTTATCCTCCATGCCCACCCGATGGGGATTTTGAGCCAGGCAATCGGCCCCACCAAGCATCAACGAGCTCGAAAACAACGGGGATGGGAACTTGGAGTGCGAGAATCTCGGCCTGTAGGTCGGGATTATCCCGAAGCTGTTGTGGTCCTTCACTGATATTGAGCCGCAAGAGATCAACTGCATTATCATGTTGGAAGCCTTCAGCTTTGATGGCGGGTCCCGGAAGTCTTCCTCCTCGAGGATCCGGAAGCTATTCAACTTTTTGGCATCGGCCCTAATGAGTGATTCCAATGTGTCCGTTCTGCCACTTGACGAGGAGGCGCTTGACGTCGACTGAGGTGGGGAGACAAAGATTGCATAATTTGCTTTCGCCTGATTATTATTATTATTATTATTATTATTATTATTATTATTATTATTATTATTATTAT